TTTGGACAAAAAAAAAAGACTTCAAAGTGGGGGGGGGGGGTCGACTTATACGCGGGGCCATAAAAAATTAAAAGAATCGGAAGTTCAAAAATTTCTTTATATAAATGCAGTTGTTTTCTTCCCGCACTCAAATTGGACAACTTATGAAATAAGTCACTTACTTGAAGTAATTTCATGATTTAAATTATGTGACGAACTAATCACAGAGTTTCATACGTTAACTAGAGTAAGTTTCGATTAAACCAAAGAATTTTCGGCCCCCGAACAACTGATCAATATCGAGCAATAAAAACATTTCGCCAACACGCCAAGAAAAGAGAAATGCAGATAATTTTTACGTACGTATAAATCTTTATAAGCAGTAAGCTTCGTCCATTGATCATTTTTAAAAGAAAAACTTTACCGAAAAACGTTGTGTTTCCATTAGGTGTGCTAGTTCGCGCCCATGAAAAGGGATGGATGGATGCTGACGGAACAGTCGATTGGCTAAAAATGTGTGGGATAAAAGACCGGGAGCAGCTTTCAAAAAACCTTCTCTTTTAGTATACGATTCTTTTCGTGGACACTTTTCTGAAGAAGTGACAAAACACCTAAAAACGACTGTGGCCGTAATTCTGGGAGGATTGACATCCGTCATTCAACCCCTAGATGTCTGCCTCAATACGCCCTTCAAAGTAAATGTTAGAAAATATTGGGCAGAGTGGATTAGTTCCGCTCGACCAACATTTACAAAAGGAGGCAACATTAAAAAGCCCGATATTACATTAATTGCTCAGTGGATTAAAGATGCTTGGAACGAAATACCCTCTGAAATGATTATAAAATCATTTAAAAAAATGTATTAGCAACGAACTAGACGGCACGGAAGATGATACTGTTTTTGAAAGTGAAAATGACGACGAAGGCTCTAGTAGTGATTGTAACAATACGGAGCCAATGACGACAGAAGAGTTCTATGAAATGTTTGGCGAATCTGACCATGAATCGGACGTTGAAGGATTTTGATTTTGTTTATTTACCAAGGTATTTTTTATCATATATTTACTTTTTTTTTCTCAGATAATTCTGAATAAATGCAGTACTTAAACAATTTTTTCGAAGTTTCTCAATCGATTTAGGAAGTGTGGGGGGGGGTCGACTTATACGCGGTATCGACTTATATGCGGGTGTATACGGTAATTTCGCTTCATCTAGTTTACTTAACAAATGTCCTGTTCAAATAATAATAATAATAATAATAATGTCTATTTTTTCTTTGAAATATTCCCTCAATTCATGAACTGATTTTTCAACTACTGTACCAAACTGTGAAATATTACGCCCTTGTTTTCTTCTCTTATCCCCATTTCTGACAGAAATACTTGAATGGCGGGACTGCAAAATGCAAAACCAATGCAGTAAGTCAAACAAAAGTGTCTTATAACCCCAAGTTATGTAACATATAAAAGAAATATTTTACTATTAAAATAGATAGGACTGAATTGGGACCAAGGGAAATGAACTGGGAAATGACGTACAAATGCAAAAGATGTATAAACATTGCTTCCCTCTATAATATTTATTTTTAGTATAATATTACTGTTAGATTAAAATTTGTCAAATTCTAAATTTTTAATGCAAGAAAAAAATATAACCTTAATCAATTAATTCAAAATTACTTAATAAGTGGCTAGGTTCCTATGTTCTGTTTCAAGTTAAAGAAAAATTTAGATAGCTAAATCTTACTTCTTCCAATATGAAAGGCTGGGTGTTTCAATATTTTTGAACAAACCATCACTGATGTTTGTAAACTTTTTTTTAAAACAATGCTAAGCAAACTTTCATCTTCCATTTATTTAAATGCAAGCAGTCACCACACTGCATATAACTGTGAAATTTTAGCAGTGAATTGTGTGAAATTTAGCTGAAATGTGAAATTTTAGCAGAAGGCACACCAAGAATTTGAACAGTGAAATTATTTTATAATTGAGGATGGAAGATAAATCATTTCTAGAGCTTAGACAAGGGCTCAGAGCATGGCTCAGCATTTAAATAAATTAAATTTATATTTTCAAGGACACAATTTAGAAGAATTTGGTTTGTGGTTTTTCTTACTTTTCATCAAACTTAAAACTGCATAGAAAACGTCATGAGGATGAATGAGAATTTTAACATGAAAGTTAGGGAATAACTGGATAATTCACTGAGGAATTTTCTCAGTGTTACATGCAATAGATTCATCACCTAAAGAAAGGCAATAACGCTAGTGACTTAAATACTGAAAACAGTTAAATAATCTAAGCTATCAAAAGGAAAAAAATGAAATAAATATCCAAATTATTTCTAGGAAATTCAATGGATTTTTTACATTTCTCATTCAATGATATACACTGAAGAGGCAAAACATTATGACCACCCACTCAAAAATACATGAATGCCACAAATTCTTGGTAGATGACTAGAGACAGGTTGTACCAAATGTCTAAGCAGCGGTAACACAAAGTCGTGATATTCTGACATGCTGATGCTTTGAGCTCTGAGCTGCTGCTCCATGACATCCCAAATATGCTCTATTGTGTTTAGATCTGGCAAGTTAGGTGGCCAGGACATTAATTGGAATTCATCCTTATGCTTCTCAAACCACTCCAACACAATTCCAGCCTTGTGATATGGAGCATTGTCCTGCTGGAAGATTCTAATTCCATTGGGAAAAGAGACACCATGTAAGGGTGCAAATGATCTGTAAAATTATGTTTAAATACTCCACAACTTTCATGGTTCTGTTCTACCACAACTAAGGATCCCAGAGCCACCCATGAGAACATAATTGTGCATGACCTGCTGTATGGAGAAGGGAGCAACTGTTTGCTGGAAGAAGGCATACCCTGATATGACCACCAATGTGATGAATGAGAAATCAGATTCATCTGACCAGGCAACTAACTGTCTTCCACTTATCCATCATCCAGTCTCGATACCACCTGGTGATGGCACAGCCCAAATGATTACCTTGGAAAGGCATAAATCTGATGCAAGAATCGCAGTTATCAACAGGATAATTTTTCCCCCTGGTCATGGGTTAAGTCAGAGATTTAAATGAATTTGATAAGGACTAATCATCATGATCTACTGCCTTAGAAGGGGCATTTTGGAAATGGCCAAGCTAATGGCTATTCTTGCGCTGCTATAATTAAAATCTATGTAAAGTGTATGTAATTAATCTATGCAAAGTGATTTACTGAGAGCGAAACTAGCAGTACACACCAGGATATTGCCAATTCATATCTTATCAAAAGTCGTGGTCATGAAAAGCAGTCATGTCTGGTAAAACATAAGCAACACCATTCCATAGCTCAGTTGAAAACTGATTTTCTTATAGGGTGAAAAAGAAATGTATTAGAGCATGCAGTTCAGCAGATATTGCTTATATATGAGACTCCATTCCTAACCCAACAAAGTTCCACTGCTGAATAAAATCATCCTGTTTACACTTACTGTAGGAACATGAGCATCACTAGATCAGTAAACAGTGCACATGTGTTACTTAGTCAGATAAATCCTGATTTTTTTTTGGGGGGGGGTTGGCATCATATCATTGGCAGTGTCAAAATTTGTCAGTTGGCTGGGGAACAACTACTGGACCAGTGTAAGATGTATATAACTAATCTGATGGTGGCTAAATTATGTTGTGGCATACATTTTGATGATCAGTCTTAGGCAATATTGTATTGGTCTTAGACCCTACTGTTGTAATGAAAGCTGTGGAAAACAAGAATGCTGTTGTGGGTCATTTAATACACATTCCTGGTGCCTGTTTTTGTAAATGGTTTTAGCAGGACAATGCTCCTGCCATAAGGTCAGGATTGGGTCCACATAGTTTCAGAAGTAGGCCTCAGATTTCAGACTACTTTTTTGATTGTGAATTTTCAGGATTAGTCAAACTGAGCATCTGTGTTACAACATGGGGTGCTTTCTCCAAGCTTATGATCCACCACTGTGTAATTTACTATCATATCTGAACATTTGGCATTCTTTGTCTGTGGATACATACCAGAAGCTTAGTGGGTCCATGCCCACATGTATTAAAACTGCTGAGCAAGCTCAAGGTGAACCAGTAAGGTTTTACATAGTAGGTTATAATGTCTTTGATTTTTACAAATGTTATTTCACTGAATAAAGAAATGGCTTAGTCACTACCAATATTATTAACATTTCCTCAATATATAAAGCTTTATACACATTGATTTTTTATGGCATATTAATACATATTTTATTTTTAATTTGCTATTAAAATGCATATTAAAAATACTGAATAAGCTAATTTAATAAGTACATAGTCAAAGAAAAAATAATGATATATTTGTTGATAGGGAAAATCAAAATAAAATAGCCAATAAGTAAAGAGTAAGTTCATGCAAAATGATTTAGCTAAATCCCATTTGCACATGAATATAAAACAATTCTTGAAATTGAAATTTTAAAATCTAACCATCTTATACATGACCAACAAATTGAAAACCATAACCATCATATATGCAACTTATATTAAAATAGTTTTTTACTCAAATCTCAATACATTAGAAAAAAACTATATTTAAGGACAAATCATCAAAATGTTTTTCTCGTTGTTCAATATATCAAGCTTACATACGTCAGTTGTTACCTCACAAGCTGCCTTGTAAAGTAATTTAAAAATTTTAAGGTCATCTTACATGTGATTCATCTTGTATTCAAGTTAATATGGCAACTGGCCTGAACATAAGACAGCCTTACATGTATGTCTCATATTTAGGTCAAACTGACAACAAAATTGTTGTTTCCATAATCAGAAAATATATCAGAAACATACAAAATAAGGCTTCCCTTCTTTCCTAAAGTAACATAGACTAATGTTAGACTAAAAATGACAAATTTACCTAGGCTTTCAAAATTAATAAAATTACTTATTTAAAAAATTTAACAAGATAATCTTCATTTCCTAAAACAAATATAAAAAAGTACTTAATATAAAAGAAATTTACTTAGCCACATGACGCTTTCTTTTAGCAGAGGTTTTAGTCATCTTTGTTTGGGGAACTTGAACTATTTCTTCTTCTTCTTCTTCATTCTCAACTTCAGATTCAGATTCCTCATTTCCATCTGAATCAGATTCTCCTTCTTCATTATTGGCATCTATCATATCTATCGATTCATCATTATCTAATGTATCATTTAGGAGTCCTTTTTCACTTTCAGATTTTCTACATAAACAAAAAATTACAATACATATTTATTAACTATTATTATGTAATAAAACAGTCAAATAATAGATACATAACTTATCTTGCCAACAACACAGCTTGGTTGTTGACTCATGAAACTTAAAATAGTTGGCATAGTTAGAATTATAGTTTGGTTCAACACAATATGCAGACTAAACTAGAGCACAAAATAATTCAAATTCGAATTTTTAATTTTAGTGAAATAAACCAATCCTAATTCCCAGATATTTCAATTAACTCTCTTAAAGTATGCATAATAATTTTTAATACTTTAAAATGAAACTAAGTTTTCAGTGTCACACAAAACATTAAAAAAATAGAATTAAATCAGCTGGAAGTACTGTCCGAAATCCGGATATCCATTATCTGGAATGATCTAAAATCCAGACCTCTAAGCCACAAACATTTTCTTTTTTATTTATGCTTTATGCATGCGCATTTGATTTTTTCTTCCATAATAAGACGTGAAGATTTTCATTTAAAAATTCCGATTCTTAATTTCACTTAGGCACTAAATAAAATACCTCGTTATGGAAAAACAATCTCGTAAGCATAAAATTGTGAGCTTAATAATTTGGCTTCATAGCTGAGTATCTACTTGGCATACATCTCAAACCGAAGCATTCACCTATTTTATAGCCCTGACGCCGACCTGGCGAGTCGTTATTTATTATATTTTGCTTTCCTCATCACACGTTTATCAATACATGACAGCTTCAGTAATAACTCATGCTGTGATGTCTAAACTTAGTAATTGAATAACAAGAGTATGGCAACCTTTTATGCTAACATTATATACTTGGCGATGATTATAGGCTTTTAAATGCTCTAAGAAATGTTGACGAGGAAAAATTCAACAAAAATTTCTTTTCATGTGCTAAAAATAGATTTTGTTAATGAAACTCATAGGCCAAAAGATTACATTTATTGCTATTTTAATTTAGAATAACTGATATGTTATTCACCATAAACCCAGAAGCGGTGGCAGAATATGTCGGCATTGGAAGGCAGAATTTAGGGAAGACGAAATTTTTGGAATTTGGGGAAGCACCGAGCAGCAAAATTAAGGGATGAGAAGTTTTTTATGATTTAGGGAAAGCATTGGGAGGCAAAGTTTAGGTGCGGTGAAAATTTTGAATTTAGGACGGCAATTTGTAGCAGAACTTAGGACTGTAGAGACTGCATCAGGCGGTATTTAGCGCCGGCCCCAGATAAAGCATTATATGGGAGTTTACTTATTCTAGACTCAGATTAATTTTAAGCATGTGCAATAAATAAATGTAGGTATAGTAAATAACTAAACTAATACAATTCAGGCTTAATTCAGAATGCAATAGGAGCAAGGCAAAATTTAACGAAACAACTTGGCTTTCGTTGTCAATCTTGTGATACACAGCCAGTAATGTATAACGGACGCTATTAAGCTAGGATAAAATTATCTTTACTGATTCTAAGGCATTCAGTTTATCTAGTGGACTGCACTGCTCCCTAATCTTCTAGTTTGATCCAGCTTATTATTTTTTGCAGACTGTTATTATTATGGCAATTTTATAAAAACTGAGCTTGAACTTTCAATTATGTCGAAAAGAGTTTCCAATTCTGGAGCTGCTAAAGGATCTACAAAGCGAAATTATGTCCATTAAACAAAAAGTGGAATTGCTTCAAAAAATGGATAAAGGCATATCCAAGGAGTATGGCATTGGAAAGTCAACTGTATATGACATAAGAAAAACAAAAAAGGAACTTTTTGAATTTTTTGTGGAAGCAACTTACATGAAAAGAAATGTTTAATAAAGTAAACAAATAATAATTGGACGTTTTTTTGTAAATTTTGATACTCTTTAGACCATAATTGTTCTTTATTTCATAAATTATGATTTCATATTTTTAATTGTATAATTTCTGCATGCCATCTTACCAGATTTAAATTAATGATGTAATATCTGGATACCAAATCCGGAATCGCCAAAGTCCCGACCAGTACAGATTTCGGACTTATTGTATTGTATTAAGATTAACAAATGCAATGGCAAACTTAATCTGGCATTAAAGGAGAAAAATTTTTTTAAGTGTGATTATGGAAAGCTGGCTTTTTTACCTAGCTTATTCATGTGTTTGCAATTCAGATTATAAGTTAAATTTTTTCAGCTTTCTTACATTAAAAATTTAGCCATCTTAAGAAAGTTAACACTTCATACATTTCTCCTATTTTAATGATAAAATCATCAGAATATTCCAAAAGAATATGAAACAAGATCTCTTCAACAGTATGAATTGAGGTCTCAACATCTAATTGTTTAGGCTCTTATAGAAGTCTTTTTTCAAATTAATAAAAGAAAGTTTCTTTAAGATGACTATTTACAGTTTCAGATAACATCTGGCTTCTATAGAGAACATGGCTATTATGCAATTAATACTATTATTTAGCTATTGTCTTCGAAATATTAAATCACTTTGAGAAGTGGTTATTTTAGGGAGACAGTCACTATTAGAGATTTCATTGCAATAACAATGACCTCTAAAAATTATTGAAACCAATTTTCAAAATGCAAGTTTATGAGATCCTACACTGAAATTTCTCAATGACAACTATAAGCAGCTCAGACAATTATAGTCTTTTGTGGAAGCAAATGCCTTAGACAACATGATTATTAAAGATGTGAAAATATTGCTATTTATTTATTTTCTTAAAAATATTGGCCACTTTCAGAGGTGGCCATTAAGAGACAGTTCACAGTTTATGTAATACCTGGATTGGACATATTTAAGTTCATATTTTATTTCAACTCAACATAAGAAAAAAAATCAAAGATTATCCGATTCTGATGAAGCACATATCATTATGGCAAGATTCATAATGATGATATCAATACAATTGAAGATAATAACTTCTTTGCGCTTTACGCTATGTAATGTAGAATATAATTCCAAGATCCGGAAGCAATGGAACATAGGAGAATCTGGATTTTGGAAATTTCCAGATTTTAGACCATTAGTTTACCTAGCAAGATGACATGTAGACTTGTAGCATTGGAGTTGTGCTTATTGTTTAGATCAGATAAAAGAATATTAACCTTCCCAACAGGACCAGGACCAGAGGTAGTATTGAGCAGACCTTGTGGTAGAACTCAGAGGTGGCAAAAATTTAAGAATTTAGAAGAATATCAAGCAGTAAAATTAGGGATAACAAAATTTTTAGAATTTAAAAGAGGCATTATGTAGCAAAATTTAGGACCCATAGAGATTGCACTGGGTGGCAAAAATACACAGTGTCAGTATTGCCTCCCAACTACTCAAGCACTGAAAGTGTAATCCTGGGGAACATCAATACAGTGTCAACTGACGTATTATTATTGGTTACAGTGTGACTCTCCAACCAGCAGTTATTTGAGTGGCATGCAAGAATCTCAATTAGCCAAAAGATAAATTGAATTTATGACACACATGCTTCCTTCTGTTGAGTATCACATTCTCCATTCCTAGATCTTATAAGGAGAGGGAGACTTCTTTTTATTACATATTTTTAGACGGTCCAGGTATTAGATTATTCTTGAGATTGGATGTCCAGATTTTGTACTTTGTACTCTACAAGGATTATCCAAAATAACAATGATTTTGGTCAACAAGGCATAAGCCAATGACATCTCTCTGATGCCAAAGTACAATAAACCTTTTGGCTGTAGTACTAGGAGGGATATTATGGTTGAAATTATCCATACTTTTAGCTGTCATAATGGGCTTTAGTTCATAGTATACTTCATAATCATAGATCTATTAGTACATCTCAGATCTCAATTCATCATCATAAAGTCTGGTAATGGTAGTATTTTCAACAGTATTATGCTATCAATGATAAGGAAAAAAAAAAATATATGATTCAATAAATCCTCTTATTTTATTACATAAGAGGGTAAACTTAGGAGCAACATTCACCTCAGCAAAATGAAAGAACACTGATGTCTAGGACAATATTTCCTTAGACAAAACTTGGATCCATTTATGTAGCTTAAATAGCTCACACTAACCTAAACAAATGCACTCTTTATAATAATTATATTCCCAAATAGAGCTTGCACCTTCCAACAACATTATAACTTCCATATCACTTTACAAAGAAGATAAAGGAATGATTCCAAGAAAAGAATGAAGTAATTAATTCCTTTTACTTTTATAGTCATCTTCATCACTCGTGATTCTAAGTGTAGATTTGAGCTTACAGCAAGATCAGATCAACTCCACAAATTCAATGCGGCTAAGAATCCAAAGGTTGTGACTGCTGTTGGTTTGGGTTTTGAATACTATTCTGTGCTTGTAACTTTATCGTTTGGTTGATGGAGCACTTTCCTGTTGCATTTTTGTTATTGTGCATTTATTATGTTAATCTGTTACATCTGGAAAAATGAAAATAATGTGTAAGTTTAGTTTTTGAGAATTGGTAAATGGCATATTCCACTATGTGAAGAATGCTTCCTGACCAGATGTACTCACTGTAATGACTGTTTCTATTCTCTTTAAGAATAATCAATTAAACACAATCACTAATAAATTCATCTTGTTTCTGATTACAATAACTATGCACATTTTGGTCTGTTGACCCATAGAAAAACCTGATCTTATGGATTCAACCCCATCAGTTTGAGACCAAAAGTAAACAATGACCACAGATAACACAGCTTTAAATTGCAAACACGGAAACCTCAAAGGACAATCAACAAGGATTTCAAATGCTCTAACAGAAGCAGAAAAGCAAAATGAACTTGACGTCGCACAGCTACATACTCATTTGAGTACGTTGGTAAATATTCATGAAAAATTTGAAGTGCTGAAGAATGACTATTATAAAATACTCAAAGATGATGAATTTGTAAAAGAGGGAGCTTTGCTGTCTCAAGTGGATGAGGATATTAAAAAATTAGAGGTAAGTCTTAAAACATCCATTAATAAACCGAGTTACGAATCTGTAACAAATCAAAATATTG